AGATAACATAACATATTACTTGTTAATTATATTCTTAGGCTGTCAATATCTATAAACTTTTTTTAAGTTAATGTTTGACTAATTTCTTGAAAATGTAGGAGGTGAAATAAAGTGTGAGTGATTTGTTTTGCTATTGATATGTATATATATATATATATATATAAAGTAAAAAACAAAAGTTAAGTAAAAACTTGACAGAAGTTTTTTTCTTTTATAAAACATTTATACAAATCTTTGCATTAAACATGACTGAGTAAAACAATTTGTTTTATATTGTGATCATGAGATAACATTAATTTTACTATTTTTATACATTTAAAGTTTTAATCCCCTTTAAGTATTAGGTTTATGACATGTATGTTTTTCAGATTTCTCAATTATAATGACATTGTGCACATAAGAATAATAAAAAAAGGTTCATTGACTGTCAGTATGTGATCTTTCTGTTCTAGTTATTGACTGGGTTAAAGGTTTGTGGGTCTTTTAATATAAATTTAACCTTATAGTTACTAAATTCATGCAAGCATGAAGAATTGATGCTCATAAACTATACAGATTTTGAGAGCTAAAATCATGAGTGTTGAGACACATTTTATTGGGTTTTTTATTGTTTTGACAGTATTGTACTTATGTTGAGTATTTTAAACCAATTTTGAGGCTTCATTAAGTCATTATAGTCCATATTGCCACGTCCAGTCATACTCTATCTGTCAATTGTGCATTTTAACAATAGTTTGTTAAGGTAGTTTCCATTGCAAAAGTCTGTCATGAGGCTTCTTGACCAAAGCACAATGCTTATTCCTGAATGGTATTCATAATCCTGCTAGTTATGAGGAAGATAGTTTCTCAGTGGTCACTTCAACATAGGAGTTATTTCTGGCAACTTAACTGGTATGTCTTAATATGGAACAATATGAATATCCATTTCATTCTCCAGCTGTTTGAGCTATGCGACAGTTGAATGGGAAATATGACCGGAAGCCTTATCTTGATGAAACTATACCTTGTTAGGCTCATTTCCAGATTTAGATCCTTCTTGATTATGTTTCATATTGTTGTCTGTTGGTGGCTTTCTGAATCCCTAATCCAAACAGATATTTATGATCTGAGTGTAAGAATATTATATGTTGGAAACACTTTTCAAAAACAGTCAGTATTTAGTGGATCGTACTACCTACAAAATTCTAAACAATGTCCGAATTTATTAGGTCGTGAAGAAATTAATGTCGCTTTTTTTAAATGAAAAACCCCGAAACCACAGCCAAGGGAACGGGCTTGGAAAAATCAGCGTTCTGTTATAGCTCTATTGTTGTTTGGAATGTTTATAGAAGTTTTGTTGCAATATATATAGTATGACAAAAATAACAGATTTATGACATTAACTCTTAAATCCAACAGATTTCTATGTACAGATATATTAAATGAAATAGTTTCCATTCTTATTGATGATACTTTTCCATCTTACATTCAGGTTATTAATGCCCTGATTAAAGAAATCACTTGGCTTTGAAGCAAAAAGCATGTCAGTGTCTTCTTTAACACCTACCACATTTTCATACGTTTTCCAATTAAGATGGTGTTGCAGCAAATGAAAAAGATGGTAATCTGATGGTGCCATATCTGAAGAATATGGTGGGTGAGGGAGAACTTCCCAACCCAACTCCATAATCTTGTGTTATATCAAATGTGCCACATGTGGACTTTCATTGTTGTGGAGAAGAAGAACACCTTTTCGATTGATGAGTGAAGGGCATTTCTGATGAAGGGCTTGATCTAAATGTTCAAGTTGATGACTATAGGTCTCTGCATTTACAGTTCGCTATGGATTGGGGTTTTTGAAATGAATTACTCCTTTGATGTCTCCCACCAAATGCAAAGCATCACTTCCTGTGGATAGAGTCCAGGTTTTGGGGTCGGAAGTGGTTTTTTTGTCTAGGACTGTGCCATTGTTTTTAGCATTTAATATTTGCATAGAGAATCCATTTTTCATCACTGGTGACAATTCTGTCTAAAAAATGGTTCACGTGCATTACGTGCCAGAAGAGATGAAGCAACGTTCACATGTTAGAAATGATGATCATAGGAGAGTTCGTGAGGCACACAAACACCTTCTTTATGGAGTTTTCCCATATTCCTTAGATGTTTACATATTGTTTCATGAGAGAGATGCAATTTCAAGGCCATTTCATGAGTGTGTTGCCTTGGGTTAGACTAAACAAGCGTCTTCAGAGCATCAATATAAATTCCAACATGTCGGCCCCTGCCATCACAGTTTTAAGGCTAAAGTTACCTGAATGAAATTTGCTGAACCATCATTGAGATTTACGAATCTTCAAAACTTTTTCACAAGCTTCTATGATATTATTGTAGCATTGTTTCCCTTCTTGTATTCAAACAGCATTACATGCCGAATGTGTGTGTGTTTCGTCATGTGCCATCACTATAAGGGATTAGAGTATACTAAACTTTGCACATTGTATAGGCTTCACTGACGTGACATTTAGGTGGTTCGTTTAACTATTATACGTAATGTACATTTTTTGGGGGGAGGGGTTAATGAAAGTGTTCCAAAATGCAACATTAATTTCTTGATGACCTAATAGTTATGATACGTAGTCTTCCACCATGACTATATGGACTGTGGTCATCACATGACTTACTGATTTCTCTTTTCAAAATTATATTAGTCTGGAAATATAATTATGTTGAATTATTCCAGATTTTAGATTAAATTTAAAACTTGTTCTGTATGAATGACTGAATTGGAATTTTTCAATAAAAGAAGGTATGTTTTAATTACTTTAGTAGTTTTACTAGTTTCCCTGAAACTTCTGTTTTGGATCTTTTCATACTTGGAACTTTATGTGAAAGTAGTTTGATTGTGCTGCTTTTTAATAAATATTAATATATATATAGTGGTATTCCTACTTTTGTAATATGGTATATGTGATTAGTTTTAGTTTTTAATTTATCAGCTAATCCATATGTAATTGGCATTCTTTAAGATCTTTTAAATTTATACCAGAAATTGTATACATATATTTTTATCAACAGCACAGACTTATTTAATAACTTATTAAATTCTTGCTCTATTGTTTTTAGGTGGAAAGTCCAAAAAAGCTAAAGGTGGGAATAACTATATAAATGTTTCAAACTGTCCAGCTACAGTTCATAATCCACCATCAGTTGCGATGTTCAGTACAATTCAGCACAAAGTGGATAACATTGAGGAACCTGTTATAGGTATTTATCTTTAAATTATTTTATAGTAAAATTTGTATATTAACCAAAACTAAATGTTTTAAAGTAATGTTAGCCTGTTTTTTCTGTTATAGCTCTATTGTTGTTTGGAATGTTTATAGAAGTTTTGTTGCAATATATATAGTATGACAAAAATAACAGATTTATGACATTAACTCTTAAATCCAACAGATTTCTATGTACAGATATTTAACATTCATCGCAGTGCACATTAAATGTCATTTAAACTTTTTGTTTACTTTGATGCTGTTGAACTAACAACATTAATGTGATTGTGTAACAAAATACATTTATATTATGCTCTGTACTATTTCTTCTTTGTGTACTAAGTCTTGTGCAGAGTCTAAACAATTGTGATCTTGTGTCAAGCTCTCACTAGTATATTTTCATGTATTTCAAAAGTATTACAAAAATATCAAGCATTCTAGTTTTGTGGACTGTTATTGTTTTGCAGTTGAACATGACAATGTTTCGATTTGCCTTAAATGTAGAATAAATATTACACTTAACATTTGCCTTTAGATGAATATATCAACCACAAAATAAACAGTTGATATTATTTACCTGTGTGAGAAGTATTTCAAGTATAATATTCATATTAAGATGGAATGAATTGTGCCATGAGAAAAAATGTCTGTCCATTCTTATAGTATAAAAATCTAACATAATTCTTCTTTGTTAATTATAGTTATATTAATAATGCTGTATTCTAGTAGGGATTTTGTATAAGCTACAGCCATATTTTCTCTTGAAAAAAGAAGAGTTAGAGGGGCTCTGATTGAGGTGTTTAAAGTTGTTAAAGGAATTCCCACAGTAATCACAGTACAGATAGCCCATTGTGTAACTTTGTCCTCAAAAACAGTTAGTTTAGTGTGTGGTTTAGAATAAAAATCATACGTTGTTATCAAATGCAAATTTCTTTTAACAAGACCTTTTCAGTTGCTATTCTAAGGTGTTTATTTTTTAGGTAATGAAAAGGTGTAAACAATTTTCAAAAATTATGAAAAAAAAATGTTACTTGGCATATTGTCTCCAAGAGACCTTCCTAAACTTAACATATCTAGCTACATTCTTGGTGAAAAAGCTATTAATATTGAAAATTATTTAATTTCTAAAGTTCTTTTGAAGCTAGTAGCGTATGTATGTTTTCTTTTAATACAATGAATTATGATAAAATATTGACAGCATGTTATTATTTTCCAAGTATTGTCATTTGTTTTATTTATTTCGAGTATACTGCTTATTAGGAAATGGCTTTTTGGAGAATATAATGTTTTTAAACTTATTCACTTTGTGGTTCAGCAAATGGATGGATTCATTAAACTGTAAATATTTTTCATTATGTTTTGAGAAAGCTTTTTCAAACCAACTTGCCTGTGATTTGTTGTTGACATGTTTTTAACTAATATAATTGTTTGCTTTAAAATCTTTGAATTCTGTTTAATTCCCCACGTTTCAGTTCTGCTATAATGGTTACTTTGGATGGATTTTTGGTGTAACACTTGAGTTATCAAGACAAAAATGCACACACTGTACATATAGTTATATTATTGTTTCTTAAATGTAGTGTTAAGTTTCAGTAAGCCCTTGATCAGCATTGTTTAATGATCCCATCATATAAGCAGCTAATATAACAATTTCTCAATTTATGACTAACAATTCCCATATGAAAACCAGGATACCCACCTCAAAACAGCTGGGATTTGCTGGAATTTCGTGTAGGAATAACTACAGATTCCTTCATTTTTTTTTACAAATTTAAAAACACAATTTTATGTAAACTTTATGAAAAATATGCTTCTGCTTTTTGAAAACAAACTCTTAGGCAGCAGTGAAACACACCTGCATGTTTTATTTATGTAAAGTACTTTTATAGAAAAAAACAACAACTTATATTTGTAATTAATTTTTGTATGTCTCTTTATTGACAGGTTTGAATTTTGTTGTTGAGTACCGTGGAGAAGATTCCAGTGATGAAGTTATTTTTGAATGTTCCATCTGTGATTGCAGATGCACAGAGAGCAGCATTATAAATCATCTTGTAGGGATGAAACACCGCTTACAGATATTGGTAAGTTTTAACACTTGCTAAAAGACAAATAAATAGTGTAAACAAGGTTTTATAGTTTTTTAAATTTTGGCATGAATCCACATTTTTTTTGTAATTACAAATATATATTTTTGTTCTTAATCTAATGTAGATTTGTAAGACTTCCCTGCAATTTTATCTGTTTTGAAACCAAATCTATTTGTAGAAACATTATGATCCAAATCTTCATATGGACATCATTCAACGGAAACTGCGTAAATCTGAGATGAATATCATTGCAACTGAGCATGCTGAGCATCTAGAAAAAATGTATGGAAGAGGATCTATCAAAGTTCTTCTGAAATGCCCTCCTGATATAAGTATGATTATTTTTTTACCTTCCACAGTAATATAATGCTATTGTTTACATTAAAGATATTTCATGATTTACCCCTTTTAGATTTTTTATGTTTATTTTGAGCATCATATGTATATTATAAAATATTAGTTCTTATGATAAAATTTCATGATTGAGACTTTTTATGTTTTCCTAGTATATGAGTTATCAAGGGGCACAGCTTAAATTTTGAAGTAATCAAATCTTCTTAATGGAAGGGATGTGATAACTTTTTATCCAAATACTTTTTAATAACCAGTAAGTTAAAAAGCTTGATTAGGACATCAGTTTAAACTTGTGCAACTTGTTAATCATGGGATTTGAACATGAGAGATTAGTTGACAGTTTTATGAATTTAATTCATAAGACATTCAGCTATTACTATGCTTTGGCTTACTTAACTACTAAATTGTTTCAATATATGTTCATAAATCGATTCAAATATCAAGACCAACACCAAAAAGCACCAGACAGACAAAATAATGAGAAACTACTCTGTGGTAAAGATAAGCTGTACCCTAGTAAGAGAGATATCTGTGAAAATGCATGTTAAATACTTATAGTAATATGATATTTATCATATTTAATCTCTTGTTTTTTTAAGTCTGACATGTGGTGTAAAATTGGAACTCAGGAGAAATTAGGGTACATTTAATCTTCCCATGTTAGTTTTGTAACCTAGTTTTATCTCTCATTTGTGTGACCTTTTTATTATTGTTATTTCATCCAAGGTAAGATGATGCTGTTAAAGATTAACATAACTGTCATGTTTATATATATATATATATATATATATATA